AGATCTGATGCCCTCTCCTGGCCTGCAGGCAAACATGCAGACAGAACAATGTGTACATAAATAGATATTTAAAAAATAAAATTAGTATACATGGAAATTAGAGAATGTTGCTTTTAATAGATTAAACCTATTGTTATTGCTATTGTTATTTGCTTCATTCCTACTCATTCATCACAGGCTCATAAAGCCTATCTCAACACTGAGCTTGGGCAGTTTTAATTTTCACCTCCAGTTATCTCTGAGGATGTGTCTTATCCTGAAAGTTACATTAAAAAGCAGAAGACAGATGAGGCAAGCCTGCAATGAATATTCCCAAAAAATCCTCAGCCAAATGAAGGAACTATGCAAACTCTAGAGGTGTGATTGGGAATTTACTTGTAGTACACCTTTGCCAGTGTTCATATACTGAGTTTACGTCACGGAGAGCCAGAGAAATAAAAATATGCAAAGAGTCTCAGAGGTCAGTGTTTGCAGGAGTCTTTGCAAAAATTATTTTTGTTCACGATAAAGTTAGCCCAAATGGAGGAATTCCACAGAGGCCCCAAGGGCCAAGTCACAGAAATCAAACTGAACCAAAAAGAAGTAGACTCTAGCCAACACCCAGGCCATGTGCAGGCAAAAGGAGATGTTGGTGACTCCTTGGGTAGCACCAGCCCCAGGCTTCTGAGAGAAGTAAGCAAGTAGGAAGGTATGTTAATGGTGTGCCAATGGAGAAGGCTGAGGCCTGGGCCTCCACTGCATCTCAGCCCCTGGGTGAGTTACCGAGTCACCTCAATTGCCTCTGCTGACAACCAGTTTGGCCTTAAGAATGAAGTGCAGCTACCTGCACAGAATGCCTGCACCTTCAATGTCAGAGCAAGTCTTGGCACAAGTGACCACACCTACTTATGTTCCCATACACTGTGCATAGACCAAGAAAACCTGTGTCTGACCAGTTTCTCAGCAGAGTGCTCACTCAGGTCTTCTCTCTGGAGACCGTCACCTTGACCTTGCTCGTGATGTGTGTGAATGCAGTGAGCAAACATGGCTAATGAAGGAATGAATAAAGGGAAAGTCAGACACAGAGCAGCTGGTGCCAGGTCCTAATTCAAGCTCTTCCACCCTCTAGACAGCAAAGCCACAACATTGTTACAAGCCTTGGCTTCCTTCTCTATCAAGAGAAGATCTAAATTGGTTTTGACAGTGTATCTAGTCCCAGTACACATGCAGGAACAACCACCCATTCCTTTTACCTGGCTCAGATTTTCACATATTCTGAACTAATGGTATAGAACATGGTGATGTATGATTTTGAAGAATGTCACAGACAAGAATTTTCCCCAAGAGTTATGGGAGGGACTCAGAGGAAGACAGGAACAAGTATGGAAATGAGGCCCTGGAGGTAGCTTCCAGTCTCCTCCAATTGGAGGAGTAACAGTTCTACTTGAGTAAGTTGTCCTGAGTTCAGATGAGAGCATATTGCAATGTTTACAGTCACACAGTCACATGAAGTCTTGGATCCAAGCATATAGTAAAATCTAGTAAAGTAAAAAGCAGGGGGAAAGCAATAATTCCCATGATACAGTGCAAGATTACGTGTCTGGTGACATTGGCCAAATGGCCATGAAGCTCTGTTATTACCCAGCTCTGAAAACATTCAGGGTTACATTCTGAACCAAAACACTCAGAAGATCTATGTTGATGTGATAAACCTATTGTGAAGGTCCTGGGTCAGGAAGGATCGCAGATTCAGGGAGAGCCCTTCAACTGTGTCTTCCTCCAACCTCTGCATCCCAGGAGCTTGGACCATTTCAGGTACCAGCAAAGTTTCTGGACACCCATACAGATGATAACTGTGCCTGGCTCCCCTTGATTTTGAACTTAGAGGTCTGAAGTGCTCCAGAGCTGCAACTGATCACCATCAATCCATCAGACATCTGCAACAGAGATCAGGTCCCCAGAAGGTTCAGAGGAAACATAACCCTCACTAGAATTTCAACATATTTCAAACATATAGTATGTTTGGCCTATAAAATAAGATTCAGCTATGGTTTCTCAACCTGATTTATATGGTCATATAACCTAGTTTCCTTCTAACATGGAGGTGAGCTAGTGTCTGCAGGCATGCGTGTCTCATATTGAAGATGCATTGGGTACCAAGAGGCCTGGGAAAGCTGTTTCATCCCAGACTTGGCATTTAAAAAGTAGAAGAATTGGGAAGAGAGGAGCAGGGGACTCAGGAAAGGGCCTGAAGGATGCTAGTTAACATTAAGACACCCACCCTAAGTTTCTCCCATTACCACCCACTCTCAAAGAATGGGGCACTCAGTTGGGGGTCATCAACTGAATTATGATAGCACTTGATCCTCATTCCTGCTCCTTCTGCAGGCTGGGAGTAATGCTGGAGCTCTGCCTGCTAATTTAGCCAATAGCCTTTCAGATACTAGCCCACTTGGGCATGGTCTCTTTTGCTTTAAAAAGAGGCAGTAGCCTTGTGCGCTCTCTCTCTTGCTTCCAGCTTCTGGCTGTTAGACTTCATTCCTGATCACGCAGAGGGCTGTTGTCTGGGACGGTGATCTGTAAGTTTTTTCTCCTTAAATAAATAACCTTTTTATTAATCACAATTCCAAAGTGGTGTGGGACTGTTTTGTGACTTACACCTTCACCTGGAGCCCAACGTTTAGCTTTAGAACCTCTTCGGCTTGGCTGCCTGCCACCAGCTCGGCTTGGCATGAACCTTCCCTCTGCTGCAGTCCATGTGTGGAGCCAGCAGTTCAATATAGAATCTCGCACAGTAGCTTTTCTTGCCACAATTCTTGGTATTTTCTCTTTACACTCCTCAGACTGGGTTAAAGTCCCTATGCACCCTACAGTTTGCCTCCTACCAGGGTGCACTGAAGAAATCTGAGTGAGATGCGGGCTTCCCTGGTTTGAGCCAGCTATTCTGAAGCTTTCTAATTATTTGTTTGCGTTTGCCTATTCCACTGCTCTAGAGACATCTGCAGAGCACACAGTCTGTGATTTATCTTTCATCATTTCACTCTAAAATCAGATTTTAGATGGGCCACATGAGTTCACGTACACCATTACATCTCACTGGGTTAGTTTTGTACGTGGCCTGTGACACCTACTTACAGGTAACTGTTATTGCACTTAATCCAGCTAATTAAACAACAGATAAGATTTAATATCCTAAATATAGAGACTGTATTCTGTCTAGATAGGGAATCTTCAGTCATTTCAAGGATCTGTAGAATATGGCTTTTAAATAACTTAGGGTTTTGTTGACATGAGACATGATGCTTCTGACAACACCAATCTATTTCTGAGAGAATGTTGAACATCAAAGACACTCCACTTGGCGCTTGTTTTCTTCTTGGCAAAACTGGCCTTTGGGCGAGGAACTGGCAATGCCTCAACCACTGACAAGTTACATGATATCCAGAAATGGATATGCAGGACTGTCAAATCTTGCCAAGACAGATAAGACTGTTTTGAAAAAAATTCCTGCCTCTGAAAATGGCCTGTTAATTACACTAGGACATAGCCAAAGTTGGTTGCTTCAATGTTGCAAAATAAGATCTTGGGTGATTGCTCAGGTAGCCAATTGTCTCTGTCATTTATTGCTTGCTCTGGAAGTTACTTGATTTACATCCTGCCTGCTCAAGTAGTATTATCTCCCTTCTTAGGCCTTCGATAGGGTTGAAGATTAGATAGTTGTAGTTACCATCCTCTTATGATCTAGCCAAGCCTGTTCCAATACAAGACTTAGATTCCTTAGGATAGAATATTTATTAAAATATTTAGCATATGTCCCTTGCTTAATATTGTTTATGCTGATTATAATTCTAATCTTATACTTGATATCTGTTCCTAGTTGATACTGTTTTGTGTTGGGTTTGGAACTCTCTTACTTGAACAAAAGGAGGAGGTGCTGCAGGAGATCCTTCTGTTCCTTCAGCCAATAGCCTTTAAGATACCAGCCAACTTGGGCATGGTCTCTTTTGCTTTAAAAAGCAGCAGTAGCCATGCACTCTCTCTTGCTTCCAGCTATTAGACTTCATTCCTGATTGCACAGAGGGCTGTTGTCTGGGACAGTGATCTGTAAGTTTTTTCCCCTTAAATATATAATCCTTTTATTAATCATAATTCCAAACTGGTGTGGGATTTTATGTGACTTGCACCTTCAAGGGGTTCTTTGGATAAGTAAGTGGTCATGGCTGCTGGTTTCTAACCTGTAAAATGGGAATGATTACATCCATGGCTTTATATATGTACTGATCCCTGAAATAAGAAGATGAAGGCATGTCTCAAACATTGAGAACATAGGGCAAATGTCTGAAAGTCGAGATCTGCTATTGCTCTGGGTGCCAAGTGGAAAGAAGTCTTAACTCTATTTGCGTGTACATCCACTCTAGTATATGCAGGGCATTGAGAACAACTGTGGGAAGTACCTCTTGATCAGCAAGCAGGGATGACCACAAAATCGAGAATCCTTCCCAAATCACTACTTTATTGGAGCCACTTGGTTGAAGGGGGAATGGGGGATGAAAGAGGGACGAGAGAGAGAAGGAGCAGGGGAAGGCGAGAGGGAAAAGGTGAGAGAGAAAGAGCAGAAAGCCAGAGAGAGCAGGAAGTCAGAGAGAGAGAGAGAGAGAGAGAGAGAGAGAGAGAGAGAAGCCCAAGCGGCAGCTGCTTTTCTAGGGTGGAGAAGCTGGGATACTGTCCTGATTGGTTAATACCATTCTGCTGGTGCCCAGGGCCTCGAGTTTGGCCAGGGACAAGGTTAAACAAAGGGTGCTCAACCCCACCCGGCAACATCAAAGGATTTGTTTACCTCCAAGCTGCAGGACCACCTGTGCCATCTTATAATGGCGATTTCTTCAGGTGTCTCCTTATAAACAACACTGTTTGCCTTCCTCCTCCTTCTCTCTCTATCCTTGACAGTTCCCAGCAAGGCCATCCCAGGCCTTCCCAAAGTATCACCAAACGTTATTGGAAGTTTGCACCTCAGGCTCCCTTCAGACAACAGAGCAATCCTGTTCCTGAGAGTTCTCCAGTGCCTCCCAGTAAGTGAGTAAGTCCTGGGGCGTCATGTAGTGGCAGGTCACAATTTTTCGAAAGCGGCACACAGAGAAGCTTAAGCCACCTGGAAAAAAGGTCTGTTTGGTGTGGAGTTCCTCACGCCAGATCTTCAGCTTGGCCAGGCAGAGCCTGACAAACACATCCTCCAGCTTGAGGAATGGGACACTCTCTGAGACATTGTATACCTTGCTGGCCACATCGCTACCAGAGCAAAATGGTGGATACTTTTCCCAGGGATATTCAAATTTACTCACAAACCACTTGCTGGACTTTTGCCTGATTGGAAGTTCATTGGGCTTTATGTAGCCTGTGAAGAACCTGCAGGTTTTGTTTTTCTTTAGCAGCAGGTCAGTCAAATAGCCAACATTCACAAACACGTCTGAGTCTGTCTTCATCACAAAAGCTGCTTGAGGACAAAAGTGGTGGACCAAGCCGGGCGGTGGTGGTGCACGCCTTTAATCCCAGCACTCGGGAGGCAGAGGCAGGCGGATCTCTGTGAGTTCGAGGCCAGCCTGGTCTACAAAAAGCTAGTTCCAGGACAAGGCTCCAAAGCCACAGAGAAACCCTGTCTCAAAAAACCAAAAAAAAAAAAAAAAAAAAGTGGTGGACCCATTCCATGCCCATCATGGTCTTCAGGGTCAAGTTGAAATAGTCGTCCTTGAAATCCCTTTGGATGATGTCACGGTGCTGCTTGCCCTCCTGGGCTGTCTCATTCATCTCGTCGGTGCTGTCTGAGGCCCCCAGGAGGAAGAGGGTCTTCACATGCCGTCCCCGCACCTCTGTTTCTCTACCCCACGTCTTGCGGATGGCCATGCGAGCCGCCAGCTGCTTGTGGGACAAAGTCACCAGCAGCACAAGGAAAGGGGGCTTCTGCTTGCATTCAATATCTGGAAGCTGGAGGAACTTCCCGTGACCTTTCTTGAGAACAAATGACAGTTCCATAAAAGGCTCCATGCTAAAGTACAAGCAAAGTACGCCCATCATCAGAATGGAAGCATAAACCAGTCTCATCTTCATGAAGGCCATCTGAAAGAACAAAGACAAACTGCCAGGTCTCCCAAGAGAGAGGATGAAGTAACGGATAACTGTGATAACCCGAAATGGTCCTTTAGCACCCTTGCCACCACAAGACTCGTTCTGCCATTCTCTGGAACCAGGCCTGGAGCTTTAAAAACATACACAGAGACAGAGACAGACAAAGACTCAAACACACACATGAGAGAGAGAGACCAAGGGAGAGGGAGAGAGAGACACACACACACACCACACGCGGGTCATACTTGATACACAAATGCCACATGCCAAATGCCCAACTTTACTGTGTGCAGGGGCAGCTTACATAGGGATTACTGATAGCCACGCCCAGCTCACGGGATTTTTCAGCTTCACTCCTTGTAATCAGAGCGGCTACAGGCATGGGTGTTTTCACTCCAGCAGGCAAAGTATCTGAGGCAGGCAAAGAAAGCTAAGGGGCCTGGGATCTATAGCTCCCAACAGACACCCAAACACAAGGAGATCAAATGGTTTTGTTCTGGTGTTCCAAGCCTAGCACCAGGGCTAGAATTTATATTTTATAAGGAACTAACAGAGAAGCATTTGAAAGTTCCTAACATAGGGCTAGGGAGACTGGTCAGTGGTTAGGAGCACTTCCTGCCAGCAACCACCTGTATCTATTTCAGTGGATTTGTTGCCCTCTTCTGGTCTCTGTGGGTACTACACACAAGTGGTGCACAGATAAACATGCAGGCAAAATTCCCTGATATGTAAACTAAAAACTTTTAAAGTTTACCCAAAAAGTTCCAAACACAAATGAAAAGTAGATAATTAAGGAAATGAAATTTGAATTTTTATAAACAGTACACATTAAATATGCCTACTGCATTATATCAAACTCCACATATACAATATCTTAAATTCAAAAATGAACTTTCCAAAAATATGACTTCATGTGCCAGGTAGGTCAGATAGATGAAGAGATACACAGTTTAGAAAACTCTGGAGTGCCTGGAGAGATGATTCAGAGGTTGAGAGCATTGGCTGCTTTTCCAGAGGTCCTGATTTCAATTCCCTGAAGCCACATGGTGGCTCACAGCCATCTATAATGAGATCTGATGCTCTCCTCTGGTATGCAGGCATACATGCAGAGCATTCATGCATAAGATATAAAAAAGAAAAAGGAAGAAAACTATGTAATCTTTTCGCACACAGAAATGGAAGCCATTTCTCTATAGTGAAGCACACAAGACAGCTTGCCATGTCATCCCCCAGTGCCACACTGACAGCCTTGTGATTCTAGATGCTGGTCCCAGCTCTGGGAACTGTCAACCCTTCACTGAAGGGTTATTCAAACTCCCTGTCCTTCAGTAGATGGGATCAGATCTCCCAACATATCCTCAGCTCTGACCTCTGACTACATGACTAAGAATGTCACAATGCATCTAGACATTGAAGGACCCCAACTCGTTTTAGCCACAGTTATACCGTTTTGCAAAGGTTCACAGCAACAAGCTCAGGGCCTCCGGAATGCTGAAGAAATAACAAGCTCAGTTCAGGGCCTCCAGAATGCTGAGCAAAGATACCTGAGGTTAGAGCAAGGACAGCCTTATCTGGCTGCAGGACAGGGGATTTATGGACTAGCCTGAGTAGGAACAAAGACTTCAAGGGATGAAGAGAGGATTGCGAGGCCTGAGTCACGTATAAAGCGGGGCTCATCACGAGTCAGGGCCTGTGCAATCAGACATCTGGTCGCCAGCCAGGGAAGGGGGACAGGATAAGGGGAACAATAAATCGCTGAGTAGTCCCCTCATTGTTATTTAGGTTAAGAATTTACCACCCCGCATCTTGCTTCTGTAAACCTCACTTTTGCTATCCTATAAAAACTCCTCGCTCCAGCCGGACGGGGCGCAAGTCCTCCAAGAGACTTTGTCGCCCCAGGTACCTGCGTATCCAATAAACCTCTTGCTGATTGCATCCGGCTGCGTGGTTTCGACTGATCTTTGGGCACGGGGGCTCTCCCGAAGGAAGACGCCCATGGGAGTCTTTCAACATCCTGTAGGTCTGGAAGCAGAGCATTCTGGGTCCAAGCAGAGGTCTGGAAGCAGAGCATTCTGGGTCCAAGCAGAGGTCTGGAAGCAGTACAATCTGGGTAAGCACATGACTGTCTATGAAGGCCTAGAAATATGAGCCTATTTCCACATTGACAAAAGTCAGAGAGTTGGAACTTACCTCTAGTTCCTTCAAGGTTATTCTGCCTCTACCTTAAAGGTCCCATCTAGCTGTTGACCAGGAATTTTGCTCTCTCAAGGTAATTGTGAACAGTTGTGGCTAACAGTCAGACTTTGTATTTCAGGAATAGAGAAATAGATGTTTCTACCTTAAACAAAAGTTTAAAGATCCAACCAAGGGTCCATTTCCTATATGTAGATAACTTTGGGTTCCATCTAGGGAGTGGTTTGCCTACAGAGTGTGTTTGTCTAGGGTATGAGAGTGACTTGTTTTGTTCTAGCAACAGAATGTTTAACTATGGATGTAGCCCACAATCTTCAATCAGTAGGTGCATTTCTTTGTATCATACTAATGTAGTTTTTTGTTAACTCCTACTTTTTTGGGTCAGGGGTATTTAAAACAACTGGCATGTAAATGTGGGCAAATTTCAGTATTCACTGGAATTCTTTTCTGATACTATAGTATTTGTTTCTCCAGTTTATTATTTCCATTTGCATCTTCATAGTCTTTACTATATTTTTAAATCCCCATGGCCTCTACCCTGGCAAAAGATATTTTTGTTGAGGCTGATCCCCGACAAATGGCAACAGACTGCTCTAATTGAGCATATTCAAAAAGCAACTCTTAAAACTTTGAGTTCCTGACAACTTGTGTGTCTGAACTCTTGGTCTGCAGCTATGGTGCTGTTGGAAAAGATTGTAGAATCCTTTTTGAGATGGGGCCGAGCTACAAGGAGTGACTCTTGGGGGATGAGTGTAGAGTTTATGGCACTGCCCACTTCATGTCCTCTCTCTGCCTTCTGATACACAAGATATGAGCAATAACCTCACACCCTGCTATCACAGCTACAAACTGCTCCCAGTGGTATGTGTGTATTCCTGCTGCAAAAGAGAATCACCTCAAATCAGGATCCAAAGTAAATCTCCCCCATCATAAGTCATTTCTCTTTAGGTATTTGGTCATAGCAATGAGAAAAGTAATGAACACAAAAGCACCTTTGGTTTTCTGATTTGCACAATTACCTTGAAATTCAAGGAACCTGGAATATGGGAAGTTTGAGATCACCTGTGTTAGTGTTGTAACACTGAGAAAGAAAGACACTCACTTTTGCTGAACAAGAACCTTAGTTCTATCCAGAATGCTAAACCACAGAGGAGAAGCTACGATAAAATGAATTCCTTGTGAAGGGCAGGCGATGACCAATGTTTCACCCTACTTTCCAAGACAATCTTCTGGACTTGTTTGTCTACCAAAAATGAAGTTTGTGTATCTCAGGAATAACTAGGAAAGAAAATGATAGAGTCAAGTTGTTTTTACTTTACTTCACTCTTTGCCCTCTCCCTGTGTGACCTTGAGTATGTGTGTGAGCTGCATTCCTGGACTCAGTTTTGAGACTTCTAAAATGGGTACAACTGAGGCACAGAGTTATATAACCTGTTATATAACTCACCTGCCTACAACAACAAACAAACATCTAAGAATCCTCTGAGGTCTCACAGACGAAGATAATACCTGTGGTGGTTTGAGGGAGAATGGCCTCTGTGGGCCTATATGATTGATGACTAGGTCATCAGTGGGTGGAAGCCTTTGGGAAGGACTGGGATGTGGCCTTGGTGAAGAAGGTGTGTCACTGTATATGAATTTTGAGGTTTCATAAGCCCATGCCATTGTCACTGTGGTCTCTTTCTCCTTCATGGTTATGAATCAAGATGTGAACTCTAAGCAGTTCCTGCCATTCTTGTCTTTGCTGTCATCATGGACACTAACCCTCTAACACTATAAGACCTACTGTATGCTTTTATGAGATCCTTTGCTCATTGTGTTTCATCACAGCAAGGGAAAAGTAATTAACACAGAAGTTGGTACCTGGAAGCGGGATAGAGCTTGACTGGCCTGACCTTGCTGTGTTTTGTAGGAATGTAGAAGACAGTGGGACTTTGGATGACGAAAATGGTTGAACACTTATTTCTGAGCTTCATGGGCCATCCTAGTAGGAGTGTGGCAGTAGTACTGTGGACTGTGGGGGTCCACCTCAAGATGTCTCAGAGATGAGCAATATTAGTAATGGGGATAGAGACCATTCTTTTGATACTTTTACAAAGAATGGGACTGCTTTCTGCCCTTGTATTAATAACCTCTCTGAGGACTAGTGAGATGGCTCTGTGGTTAAGAGCACTGATTGTTCTTCCAGAAGACCTGGGTTCAGTTCCCAACACTCATATAGCAGTTCACAATTGTAAATCCAGTTCCAGAAGAAGTGACATTCTCACATAAATGCACATAAAACAAAGTTTTAAAATAGTTGGTGTGCATTTAAAAGAATTGAATATGGGAGGACAGGTGGACAAGGTGCCAGCCCAGCCACATTCCTGACCAGCAGGGGCCCTGACTTCTATCAGAAGGTCATCGGAGGGGTGAGTTTGCTTTGGACCCGTGGCAGGGTCCCGGTGAGGAGGAGCTTGGGCATTTCCCGACCCCATAGACACCCAGGTCACCCTGCAGTGCTGGCTCCCCCGTCCCGCCTGCCATCCCAGCTCCCATCCAGGTACGAATTCCTATATTTCTCCCTTCCCC